GGGAGTAGTTCGGGACCAGGCTACAATTCATCTCGTCGTACCACCCCAAGACCGACGGTCAAACGGAGCGGATGAACCAGACCATGGAGCAGCTGATTCGTGCCACGTGCGACGACCCGACAACATAGGAACAGTAGGTGCCGCTGATCGAGTCCGCAGACAACAATGCCATCTCAGCGACGATGCAACAGTCCCCATTCTACCTGAACTATGGACAAAATCCAATAGTGCCCATGACGCCGAGTCCGGACAACCCCACGCCATGCGCTCAACAGTTCGCCGAGATACTGCAAGCTGCCCGAACGCGAGCAGCAGAAGCAATTAAAAAAACAAATGTCATCGAAAAGAGAAACGCTGACCGCCACCGCCGCCCAGTCACGTACCAGTTAGGAGATTACGTACTGCTCGACACACGGAATTTACGACTGAAAACTTCAACCGCGCTACAGTGGACCATTCCAAATCAGTCACATGATCACCCCAGTCACCGCCCATTTACTGTTGCCGACAGACTGGTACATCAGCCCATCATTCCACGTCAGCTTGCTTCGCCCAAACATTCCGACCACAAGCCAACTACCATGACATCGTCCACCCACCGTCAATGACTCGCCCTGCATCGGGGGTCGGGGGGTGGGGGGGGGTGGGGGGGGGGGGTTTGTGTCAGGTTTTTTTCGGCATTCCTTACAGCGTTCTTCAACATCGCGTACAGCAGCAACCGTTGTTCGCCCGTTACTGCTAACGGAGCTTCGCAAACTTCGCGTGCACTGTTTTACCAAACCATGCACTGCTGGCCTGGCCGAGTCGGCCTACGCTTCGGGACTAGCCCGCCCGAACCTCAATGCCAGCCTAGCATTAGCTAGCTCACACGCACCGCTTAACTGTTGCATGTTTCGCACGTAAGTATTCGCTCTTGCCCTCGCTCATACTTTGTACTTGTTTGACACCTAGTGCAATCCTCGCTATTTCGTTCCATTGAACACATATCACTATTTTTGTAGTTTGACTATAAATTTTACATGTTGCCTAAAAAAAAACCATGAGGGAAACATCGAAGTCTAAATCCTGGCCCGAATGGGTAACCCTAAAAAAACCACACTTCAAACAGGGAAAAGGGGTAAATGACACTGATCAAATAGACCCCAAAAACAGCCAAAAATTAACAAAAGAAGCCCTGGGCCCCAGTGAATGCAGCTGATGCCTTGTGCCCTGGTGCATGGAGATCTTGCCCCCTTGCAAGGCAGAGCACACAAAGGTCGAACCCCTCCCTTCTAAGGCACTCAAGCAGGGACACTCTCCATGCCTGGAGTGCCCTGTTTTGAAAGAAACAACTGCTGGAAGTGTGGCTGATGGGATGACGGGAGTGGCTGATGGGATGACGGGAGTGGCTGATGGGATGACGGGAGTGGCTGATGGGATGCCTTCAGGCGTGATAGGAATGTGCGGTCATCGGAGTGATCGGATGTTTTGTGACAGCTGCTGAGGGCAGCTTACCTGTTGAGGGGAAAGACAAACAAGGAGATGGAGATGCAGGGGACGAAGTGAGAGATCCATGGGATGAGATTGGAAAACGAGAGATGGCAGCAGTACGATGGGTCAATTAGCATTGATTCCTCCACAAGAAATCCTCACATACCTTGTGGATTGCTTTTGGATTATCCATAGGAGGGTGGAACTTACGGATAATCGAGGATTTGGGGCATGCCATCACAATATGGGTCCCCTGTGTTCTCATTGAACATGCACGTCTGTCCCGGGGCACACCCATAGTAATAGCACTTATCTGGAAAGGAGTTGGGGTGAGAGAACATGGCACACCGAGACACGAATAGTGGGACCAGGGGTGGGTGGATGTAGAAAGAAACACACCAAGCGGAGATAGGATTGAACCGAAACTGAGATTCAGGCGAAAGGGGCAAGGGGGGGATTGAACAAGAAACGAGATCATTATAGAGGGATGCACAAGGAGGTGTGAGAACTATGCGACAGCAGGAGTTACCATGTTACCATCACATGGTAGAGGCAGCACAACACACATATCTGACGCGCTAGGTCACAGCCGCACTGGCTAGATCACAGCCACTGTGACACAGAAGCACACAGCAGCCAATGCACACACATGCACATCACTCTGCACCTACCAACGCAGTTTTTAGGAGCTGCCCAGTCGGGCTCATAACCAGTGTCGCAAACACAAGACGCCACTGCAGTAGTGGTGTCACAGTGCATGTTCGCACCACAGCCCGGATTGCATGGCCCTGGGTGGAGGTAGAGGCGACGGAGAGGGAGGGATGGAGTGGGTGTGAAATGAGGGGTAGTGGGCTCAAGATTGAAAACGACAAGATACATTACGCCGGATGATGGGAACGCATGAGAGTAGCGAAACCATTGGCGCTGCAGGGACCATAGCTGCACTTGAAGTTAGCATCACCCACCGGGTGCAGGATCTGTTGGTGCAGGATCCGTTGGTGCAGGATCGAGGTTGGTCTTCAAGGGTGGGCCCCACGACTTGCCATCCGGCATGAGCAGGAAGCCCTGGTCACAAGCGCACGTCGGCACCCCCTCACGAGTGTAGTCACAGTGGCCGTTCTCACAGATCAGAGGGCATGGCTCTGGGTGGGGTGGGGGTAGAGGCGGCGCAGAGGGGAGAGGGGTGGAGGAGACGCAAAATGAGGGGTAGTGAGACGACAAGGTGCTTCACAAGGAGGAACCAACCGTATTGGAGGTAACCCCATATTGGGGTTCAAGATTGAAGACGACAAGATACTTTACACGAGACGGTGGGAGCGCATGAGCGTGGTGAATGCATGAGCGTGGTGAATGCATGAGAGTGGTGAACGCATGAGAGTGGTGAACGCATGAGAGTGGTGAATGCATGAGAGTGGTGAATGCATGAAAGTGGTGAACGCAGGAGCTAGAAACGGTGCAGAGGGGGGGAGCGGTGCAAGGGGCGTGAAATGAGCGGTAGTGGGGTTCAAGATACTTTACACGAGATGCTGGGAACACATAATAGTAGTGAAAACCATTTCTCACTTCATGCAACCCAACAGCACTTGAAGCTAGCATCACCCACCAGGTGAAGGAACCGTTGGTGCAGGATCCCGAACAGCAGGGACCCTTGGGACCGTTGGTGCAGGATCCCTCAGCGGCGAAGCTTTCACTTTTGGAAGGCAAGGAGAGAGGGAAAGCAGGAGAGAGGAAGAGAGCGAGAGAACGATGGGTGAGAGAGAGATCATTGATTCCTCAACAAGCAAGGGATGGCGTAACGAGGGGTCAGAGAGACATTGATTCGTCAACAAGCAAACCTCAACGCGTGGAGCTTACCAATACAGCCGATCTGCTCGGCAATAAAGCCAGGGAGGCCGGGCATGCACACACAAGCTGGACCCCATGGCGCGAGTTCGCAGTATGCCAGTCCCAGAGTGCAATCCGGATTGCACGCAAATGAGGTTGTTGGGGTTGTTGTTGGGGTTCCTGTTGGGGGTGAAAGACCGTGGGCCAGGGGTGGGGGGATGTAGAGAGAGACATATCGTGTAACAGATGAGTAAGACAATGACGCTGTAACACAGAAAATGTGATTCAGGCAGGAGGGGTGGAAGGGACGTGAAATGAGGGAGGGGTGGTGGGGCTCACGATTGAAGGGACGTGTCATGGCGGTAATTGACTGACATGACACGAGATGTTGGGAATGCATGATGGTACTGAAACCAGTGGCATCAGAGACAGCAGAGCAGCACTCTCAAAGTAGCATCGGCATCACCCACCGGGGGCAGGCTCCCTAAGGGGTGGGAGATCCAGAGAGGATCGATCCAGGTCGAGCTTCAAAGGCGGGTTGCACGTCCTGCCATCCGGCTGCAGCAGGAAACCTGGGTTTCACACACAGGACGCCGCTCCAGTAACGTCGTCCTTGCTGCACTGGCCGTTCACGACATCACAGCTCTGAATCTCGCAGTTATCTGGGACGAGGGAGGGATGGGGGAGAGAGGAGAGTACAGGTGGAAAGATGTCACCAAGAGATATCTTGAGAGAGCAATGAGAAAAGACAAAACACGCACACGCGCACACACACACGTGCGCAACAACGTGCACACACAGAGTCACACAATGAAGTGCGCGCTACAAGAGAACAACGCAAGCGGCGAACGCACCAGTGCATATGCCCGAAGCCATGGTGTAACCAGTCTTGCACACGCAGGTCGCAAGGTTCCCTTCCTTCTCACAAGCGGAATTGGCATCAGAGCCCTCGCAGTTCTTGATGGTACACGCATCTAACACAAGGGGACGGACAACCGGATTGAACGAGAATCAAGATCTCAGAATAGGTTCTTGAGAATGGATACAGCAGTGCTGAATCAGCACAGCAGCACATAGAAGCTCCTCAACACAGCAGCACAGGTTCAGCACGTACCAGTGCACGTCTTGCCATCCGCCTGCAGCACAAAGCCAGTGCCACACACACAGGACGCCGCTCCAGCACTTTCCTTGTCGCACTGCCCGTTGACGCCACAGTTCTGAATCTCGCAGGTGTCTGGGTGGGGGAGGGGAGGGGAGAGAGAGAGTAAAGGTGGAGAGAAGTCACCAAGAGGTAGCTTCAAGAGCAGTCATATAAGAGAGAGACACAAAAACATACAGCACACACACACACACACACACACACACACACACACACACACACAAAGACACACGCACAAATGAAGTGCGCGCTACGATAGCACAAAAAACGAAACGACGAACGCACCAGTGCATTTGCCTGCTGCCATCTCGTATCCATTCTTGCACACGCAGGTCGCGAGGTTCCCTTCCTTGTTGCAAAAGGAATTGGCATCAGATCCTCGGCAGTTCTTGATGATGCACACATCTGACACACAAGGAGACGGACCGGATTGAAGGAGAATAAAGATATTACAAAATAGGTCCTTGAGAAAAATGAGAGCAGTGGAATGTAACCACTGGCCATGGATTCAGCACATCAGCACAGATTTAGCACGTACCAGTGCACGTCATGCCATCCGCCTCAGCACGAAGCCAGAGTCACACACACAGGACGCTGCTCCAGTGGTGGCATCCTTGGTGCACTTGCCGTTCACACCACAGTTCTGGATCTCGCAGGTGTCTGGGTGAGGCGAGGGGAGGGGAGAGAGGAGAGTAAAGGTGGAGAGAAGACACCAATAGGTAGCTTGGGAGAGCAATCAGAAAAGAAAGGACATACACAGAGAGTCACACAAACACACAACACACACACACATACACACCCACACACAAACACACACACACATGCACACATACACACACACACACACAGAGTAACACACATACGCAGGCACACACCCGCAGTCACAAAATGAAGTACGCGCTACGAGGGCACAACGCTACGAGGGCACAACGCAACCGGCGAACGCACCAGTGCATTTGCTCGCTGGTGCCTGCGCGTATCCGGTCTTGCACACGCAGGTCGCGAGGTTCCCATTCTTCACACAAGTGGAATTGGCATCAGAGCCCTGGCAGTTCTTGATGTCGCACACATCTGACACAAGGGGAGGGACCAGATTGCACGAGAAACAAACTGATAGATTAAGTCCTTGAGAATGGAACCATAGGCCATGAATGCAGCACAGCAGCACATAGAAGCTCCTCAACAGAGCAGCACGGTTTCAGCACGTACCAGTGCACGTATTGCCATCCGCCTGCAGTGCGAAGCCAGTGTCACACACACAGGACGCCACTCCAGCACTGTCCTTGGTGCACTTGCCGTTGATGCCACACGCCTTGAGCATGCATGTTTCTGGATAAAACACATGAAGGGGGGGGGGGGGAGTTGGGCGAGTGAGGGGAGATAAAGAACAGATGAAGGAAATTATACCGACGTGACAAACCTCAGTCTGACATGATACAGCACCTCGTTACACACAAGGGTCAAAACGAGAACATGGCACATGGCACATACCGGTGCATGTGACGCCATCAGCCTGCAGTGTGAAGCCAGTGTCACACACACAGGACGCCACTCCTGCAGCGTTCTTCACGCACTTGGAGTTACTCCCACACCTCTTGAGCACGCACGTGTCTGCCAAGGGAAGGGTAACAGGCGTACTAGTGAGTGGGGAGGTAATGACCTAGAACTTGTGCGTGAAAAAACTAAGCAAGGAGCTTTTTTTATGCATGTGTGCAAAAGGTAGAAAGCGGAAGAGTTGTGAGAAGGAAGAGAATGCACAAAGATCGACAGTGCTCTATGCCGTAACAGTGACGGAATAGAGCAGGGGGGCTGACTACATGGCTCCCGCCTTGGTTGGAATGATGCAACGGCACATACGCACGCACCAGTGCATGTACATATGCACGCACTAGTGACGGAAAAGAGCAGCACATATGCACGCACCAGTGCATGTAGTCTTGTCTGCCTGCAGCACGAAACCAGTGTTGCAAACGCAGGTGGCGTCACCGTTGACCTTCACGCAATTCCCATTGGCGCCGCAGTTCCTCTGCACACACGAGTCTGGCGAGACAGGATTCCGGAAGTAAGAGAGAAAGAGATGAACCAGGAAGAAACACGGGATGAGAGGAAAAACGAGGAGAGACGGAGCATGCACACGTGGAGAGCTAAGAGAGGTGGGAGTGATCCGTGTGACAAGCTAAGATGGTTCAAGAAAAGACCGGCAAGGAGTAGGGCCATGTGCAAGGAGACGGACGGGCGGGAGTGCCTTTCGGGGTGTGGAATGTTACGCTGTTGACTTACGGTCGGCGGCGTTGCTTGCAGCTGGCAGGCGAATGGCAGCAGCCCTGGGCGCACAGGCTGAGCGCGCATGGGGAGAGGGGTGGGGGAGGGGGGGTCGGGGGGAAAGGGGGTGGAGGAAAGGGGAAGAACGGAAGGAGAATGGGATGAGAAGGGAAGGAGGGAGGGCTCACGGGAGGAGTGGATGATATGAGCGGGTGTTACTCTAACAGGCGAACTGGGGTATGGAGGAAACCTGATAGCAGACTATTCAAGAGCATGAGAGCGCACCTGAGAGCATGAGAGCAGCCAGTGCAGCGAGCAGGAGACCAAAGCTCCGCATCACAGGCACGCCGTGCGAAGCCATGGTGGTGATGGCGCTGACGATTCCCGCAGCAGTCAACAGGTGCGGCGAGAAGGTCGAGAAGGGCTGGAAGCACCAGCGGCAGCACTGCTGCCAGAAGAGAGACGATGAGCCCATCGCGGAAAAGGGAAGTGCGAAAAAAAACTTTAAAGTTAATAAACCGCAACTCTAGGGTTACTTGGAAAACGGAAGAAAAGAGTCAAGGTTCAAATTTGTGGGTGCACGAGTGACTTGTTCAGCAACTTTTGCGTCACTTTACGGGCAGTTTCCGGATACTTATAACATGGAAACCACTACACGTATGCGGTTTCCAAATCCATCCCCAAAGTCGCTTGCCTAGTTACTCAACATCCTACGTGTAACTGACGCGAGGACATCACCTGCAAGCTGCAAAAACGCATCACAAGAGCCCCCACCCGTACTGCAAGTCCACGTGGCGAACTACTTCAACATCCGCCGCCACGTAGGCCATCACTTCCACAAGTGAACGCCATCTCACACCGTACGATCTTTGTGCTTATAACTCAATCCTGACTCTACAAGTGTCGCAAGCATACAATCTCGCACTATGCGTTACCCCTTCCCGCGATGAAAATCGCGCATCCCGCCACCATCACACCATCACATCCCATCCATTCATTTCTACCACCACAATGCAGCCAGTACATGACACGTAGCATTAACTGGAACCAAACACACAGCACCCCTGTTCAGGCCGAAACTGCAATCCCGTCACTACAAGTGTCGTCTCTCTACAAACTCGCACGCTGAGTTACACATTCGCAATCCTCATATCGCCATCGTCGCCAACACCGCCAACTCATACCTCATCCGCTTATCCCTACACCCAGCATGCATCACCCATAAGACACGTGGAGGTTACCGCAACCATACCCATAACACCTACAATGCAGCATATAACCAATCGGCATCCGGCACCATACTCTGTTCAAATGCATGGCGACCGCCGATTCTTACCCCCATCGTGCTCCGACGACCCTGCAAGTGTCACACACCTATGCTTTCGTGCGATACGTTACTAATCCGCGATACCATTTCGCATACAACGCAACCACAAGCGCGAAACCATGTGGACCGTCCACATTTCCCCACGTCAGCGAAACCAATAGAATCGCGAACCGAATCACAGCCCTAACCACACAAAAACCGCCCCTCCATCAATTCCAGCGAAACCCGTGCAAACATCTGGTAATCCGCGCAACATTTAAAACCTATCACAAGACTCCATCTAAATCCACTTCTCTATCACATCCGCTGAATATTGGGTTCTGATATTTACCTAACGTATACGATTTAGTCTCCACATTCTGCAGTCCACCTACCACCGTAATTTTAGGCGAAAATGCGGCCGCAAATCACGGCGCGCTGCGACACGCGCCGCCCTTACTGGCAATACTGGGTACCACACCGTCAGCTACCAATTCTCTATGCATAAGCTCCATTTCCAAACGTGCGACATGGGAAAATGAATACTATTACGGCAACAAACACACAATATGGTACAAGAAACCGCATACAACACCACACTTTCCGCATACCTACCCCGCTTAAAGTGTCTCCCTACCCACAACCACCCTGCAGTACATCAGAAACCAAACAACAGCAAAGAACGACGACACTCGAATTACCATACGTCTTGTAGCGCAAGCACAATCGCTGGCTACTCTACTCATCACCAAAGGACGCGGACAACTTTTCGTCACAGCCGATATCGTCGGCTTGGGATCCGCCTGCAGGCCTCATCCCTTCGAGCCCACTAACCGAAATAAGCATACCGTGGCGGCCCCAAATCCAGGCCTGACGCTTAGCATCCCATTCTGGATTGAACACCCCGATAGCCCTCTCAACAGCTCCTTTGGCGAGCACCTTGAGCCCATTGACTACGTGGCCGTTGCCACCCGCAGAGTTGGAAAGGCGGCCTTTGCGCTCCTCCCAATACATGACAGCATCCGTGACCTGCATCAACCATGTAACCAATTTAGCCAGCCCGACCAGTGATAAAAACCGCCACACTATCCAAGCCTTCACACTCACCACGTGCTCGAGCCAGGCCAAGTGGTACACATTCAGCGTGAGAGGAACTCCTGGCTTCTTCGGCTTGAATGCAGCCTTGGCGCACGAGACAAAAGCAGCAGATGCAAATGGCATGCCTTGGCGGTCGTTGCTCCAGATTGACAGCGCAAGAGTTTCTGCACATACCACAAACCATGGAAGGTTTAACACTAGTAAAGACCATGACATGTCGACTGCTATCACCACAGCACAATGACTCATCACGTACCTTCTCCCTCACCGGCCAGCCCTATGCGTTCCCGGATCTTCTCTGCGCTGCGCTCCTTCTCCGGTGCCCATGGGCTCGAAGCATCTCTCTCGTCACGGAACAACCCGAGCTTTGGAAGCGCGATATCTCTAACTCGCGCTGCAGCACGGGTCTTCCACTCGCTCAACGTCTTGTTCAGATCAGCTCGACGTGACTTGTCAGCAGCCAAGGCCAGGCACACGTAACTGTAGGGCAGACGGTCCAAAACCGCACAAACCCCGTCGGTTTTGTCGTTGCTACTCGGGTAAAACGTCATCGTTGCGTACGGCTTGCTCAAAAACAGGTAGACCCTGACTAGGTCGCACATGCGCTGCACACCACGTGGGAAAATAGGACACCCAAAGCGATTTTATGATGACCACCTTAAAATGTACCTCAAGTATCGAGTCTGCCCATTCCTCAACCGCACGTATGACATAACACAAACCTTCAACAAACCACAACCCAAACGACAACAACCATACACCTCGCACGCCTCACCTTCCACGCCTTGTCTGCAGGGAGCAGATCGAGCGCGCTCTGCAGCACAGGCGACCTCGACGACCTCATATGGCACCGGCGCGAATCATCACTCTCGTCGTCCTCTGTCAGAACATAATAGCTTGCTTATTTGTGTAGGCTATAGTGGGGTATCCCATAAGGGGTACAACCCAATTAGGGTTTCCTATATGTACTCACTTCATTCATTGTCATTCCATTCTCGTTCTTATTCTCACATGGTATCAGAGCAGGTCCCCTCCTAGGGACTGCTTCTTGGGCCCACTGAAGCGCGCCCCGAGGCGCGCGTTCCTTTTTTTTTTAGCGACCCGTCGTGTCGCCCCCCCCCCCCCTAGCGGCCCATCGCGCCGCCTTTTCGGTCGCCGCCCCGCCGCCCTACTCCTGCGGCCTCGCCGCCCTACGTCGCGGCCCCGCCGCCCTACCCTACGTCGCGGCCCCGCCGCCCTACCCCTCGACGGCGCCGCCGCCCTACGTCGCGGCCCCGCCGCCCAACCCTTCGACGGCCCCGCCGCCCTACGTCGCGGCCCCGCCGCCCTACCCCTCGACGGCGCCGCCGCCCTACGTCGCGGCCCCGCCGCCCAACCCTTCGACGGCCCCGCCGCCCTACGTCGCGGCCCCGCCGCCCTACCCCTCGACGGCGCCGCCGCCCTACGTCGCGGCCCCGCCGCCCTACTTCGACGGCCCCGCCGCCCTACGTTGTGGCCCCGCGCCCTACTTCGATGGCCCCGCCGCCCTACGTCGCGGCCCTGCCGCCCTACCCTACGTCGCGGCCCCGCCGCCCTACCCTTCGACGGCCCCACCGCCCTACGTCGCGCCCCCCCCCCCCCCCCCCCCCCCCGCCGCCCTACTTCGACGGCCCCGCCGCCCTACGTTGCGGCCCCGCCGCCCTTCTCGACGGCCCCGCCGTACTACATCACGGCCCCGCTGCCCTACTCAGCGGCCCGCCAGACGCCCTACCTGCGGCACGCCTGCCGCCCTACCTGCGGCCCACCCGCCGCCCTACCTACGACCGCCGCGCCGCCCTAGACCAGAGCCGCCCGACCGCCGGGTCGCCCAGCCGCTGAGCCGCCGAGCCGCCCAGCAGTCGACTGCCGAGCCACCGAGCCGCCCAGCAGCCGAGCAGCCGAGCCGCCGAGCCGCCCAGCAGCCGAGCCGCCGAGCAGCCGAGCCGCCCAGCAGCCGAGCCGCCGGCCGCTGAGCTGCCCTACTTTCAGACCGCCTGTTCTGCCCAGTCTGGTGAGCACAGAGCCTTCCTCTTCACTCCACTGCCCTCACCCTACTGCTTGCACTGCTAGGCGTCTGTCATCATGGCTACCCCCAGTGTCCTTGCTTTTGACGCTGAGGGTCGGGCCATTGACTTTGAGGTCTGGGTAGATGACCTCCAGCTGTTCTTACAGTGCGATAGGGCAGACGGCCTCTCTCTCTTTGACCTTACCTCTGGCGCTTCCCCTGCCCCTGCTGCTGATGCTGACCCTACTGTTCGCTCCCAGTGGGCTACGCGCGATGCTGCTGCACGTCTTACTGTGCGTCGCCACCTCCCTACCTCTGAGCGTGCGCACTTTAGTCAGTACAAGAGTGCTCAGACCTTGTACGACGCTGTAGTTGCACGCTACTCCTCCCCTGCCACTGCTGCACTGAGCCGCCTCATGCTACCCTTCCTCTTCCCTGACCTTGCCGCCTTTCCCACAGTCGCTGATCTCATCACGCACCTCCGCACTAGTGACACCCGCTACCGCGCTGCGCTTCCTGCTAACTTCTGCGCCAAGAACCCCCCCCCCCCCCCCCCATGTACATCACTCTCTACTTTCTAGTCACCCGCCTCCCTGACTCCCTTCGTGTAGTCCGGGACCACTTCCTTGCGGTCTGTCCCACCACTCTCACAGTCGACAGCCTAGAGAAGGCTCTCCTAGCGGCGGAGAAGAGCATCGTCGCTGTAGGAGCCTCTCGAGGTGACCCCCGCGCCCCCATCTTTGAGGGGTGTTCTCCTTCCCCTCTCTTGCCCTCTGTCGCCTCTGCCGCTGCGGCCGACCTCGTTGGTCTTGAGTCGATCGGTGCGGCGTCTGCCCCGAGCGGGAGACGTTGCCCTGGCAAGGGCAAGGGGGGCAAGGGAGCGGGTGGGGCTAGCGGGGGCGCTGGCGGTGGAGGTGGAGGCGGCGGAGGGAGTGGGGGTGGCGGTGGAGGAGGTGGCGGGGGTGGGGGTGCTAGTGGCAGCAGTGGTGGCGGAGGCGGCGTCGGCGGCGGCGGTACTGGCGGGGGTGGCGGCGGTGGCGGAGGTGGA